CAACTGCCTCTATAAGACTTTTACAGCAAGCGCCTGCACATCCTCCTTCTAAAATTGTTAATGTGAAACCTTACGCTTTACCATTGTGTTCCAGGGAGGAGATCGCTCTGGTAACAGCAGAGCTGCAGGAACAAGGGATAATCAATCATTCCAAGTCACTCACCCTATAATCCCCCAGTGTGGCCAGTCCATAAACCTAAGGGAAAGTGGCAACTGACAGTTGACTATTGGCGATTATATGTCCATACAGTCCTCTAACAGCTGCAGTACCTAACATAGCTGAACTGATTGCAATACAGGAGGCAGACAGAGATGGCTTTGCCTTTATATGGGAAGGTGTGCAATTTATTTTTACATATCTCCCCCAGGGATACTGCCATCCACTGACCATTGTTCATTATGCACTAGTGCAGGAGCTTGCTCAAATCCCTCCTAGGGAAAGGGTCAAGATATATCAATATATTGATGATGTTCTGACTGGTGGCTCTGATCCTGCTGCAGTGGGACAGACCCAGTCAGGAAATCACCCTGCCCACCTCGAGAGCCTTTACCTCCCCCAACTGCACCAGAATACCCAGGAGATTCAGACTTCCCACCAGATTCCCCGAGGGAGCAAAGAAGAGTAACCCAGAGTCAGACTAGAGCAAGACAAGGCAACAGCAACTTTTACCCCCTAAGGGAGGTTGCAATGGGAGGACCCCTTAGGTGTGGCAGAGTGGGTGGATTAATTTTTAGGACCAAATATTTATACCTTGGATTAAATGCAAGCCATAATAGCTATATTATTCACTGCCGAAAAGAGGAGACATGATCAGGAGGGCAGGAATGAGAATCTGGGACCAACAACATCAGCAGAGCCCGGCAACAGATATGAAGTGGTCTCTAATTCGACCTAACTGGAATAATCAGAATGAAATTGATAGAGGTCATATGCAAGACCTGTGGATGATTATAGTCCAAGGTATAAAAGAATCAGTCCCTGAAGGCAGAATATTAATAGAGCTTTTAGTGAACAACAGAAGAAAGATGAAACACCTACTAAATGGCTTGAAAGATTGAGAAAAAGTTTACAGTTATACTCAGGAGTAGATCCTGCCACCCCTGTGGGGCAGGCTTTGTTAAAACTCAGTTTGTGGCTAAATCCTGGGTAGATATTAGGAAGAAGCTAAAAGAGATTGAGGATTAGCAAGAGAGATGAATGGATGAATTACTGAGAGAAGTTCAAAAAGTTTATGTTAGAAGAGAGGAGGAAAACCAGAGAAAACAAATAGGAGAGCAAACAAGGGTCTTGGCAATGGCCGTGAGAGAGGGACAGAGAGTAGCTTTAGCAGCGATGGGAAGGCCTGTCAGAGAACAAAAGGATAGACGCTCCTGGAAAGGAGGCAGTCATCCCTCCGACTTGGAGCGTAAAAATATAAGGGAAGTGGAATGTTTTTATTGCAAAAGGAAGAGGCATGTGAAGACGGTTTGCCGAAAGAGAATCCAAGATGAGAAAATGTTCTCTGAAGATTAGTGGGGTCAGGGGCTCTATGTGCTGGGGACCCCAAAGAACAAAGAGCCCTTGATAAAACTTAAAGTGGGTCCTCAGCGACAAGAGGTTGAGTTCCTTGTGGACTCAGGAGCCAAAAGATCTACCATTCAGGCTTTACCTCCAGGTCGTAAGGTATCATCAGAAAAAAAGTTAATGTAATAGGGGCTAAAGGTGAACCATTGGAAGTCCCGGTTCTTCATAATACAATTATTGAATCAATATGTAAATATGTGATTGGAACATTTTTATTAATGCCAGAAACAGATTATAATTTGCTTGGATGGGATCTGCTTATAGAATTAGGAATCAATTTGGAAGTGGAAGAAGAAGAACTCAAAGTCAGATTATGCCCCCTTACAGTTGCGGATGAAGAAGAGATTAACCCAGAAGTATGGTATATCCCAGAGACAGTGGGTAGATTGGATATTACCTCCTTTTGAAGTAACCATTAGGAACCCAGAGATCCTGATCAGAATCAAACAGTACCCTTTGCCACAAGAAGGCAGGAAAGGCTTAAAGCCTGAAATAGAAAGACTCCTTAATAAGGGACTATTGGAACCTTGTATGTCACCTTTTAATACTCCAATATTGCCCATTAAGCAAGCAAATGGGAGTTATGGCCTTCCTCCCAGAAGACCACCGCGCGCACACACACACACACACATACACACACACAGGATTTGAAGAACCCTGACCTTAGTTTTAACAACTTCTGCGCAAGCGTAAAGGACTGATAATCTAATTACCATATGAAGCGGGAGTAGGCGGGTTCAAGTAATGAATATGTATATATGTATGACTATGTAATACTTTGTAGTATAAGACTGAAACAGAGTGCCCTGGAGGGTGCAGTCCGTTGTTGGAGCAGGAGACTCCCTGGCCGCCCAGCGCTGTTTTGCTTGTTGCCACTTGCTAAATAAATTTGGAACTCTGACTCAGCCAATTTTAAGAAGTCAGTTTATAACATTCTGTCTCTTTAAAATGCAGTTGAGCTAAACAATAAAGGTCTCTTTGGCCCCTCAGGGCCGATTTGAAATAAGTTACAGTAGGTACCATGTTCTGCAAAACCCCATTCTGCTATAATAGGATCATGAGGATTAACAGGTCCTAGGGACTGATATATTTTTAATTCTAGTAGCAGAGTTTTAATTGCTTCTTCATGTTCTGAGTCCCATCTCCATGATTTTCCTTTTCGTAAAAG